AACCCATCTTAACTGGTCATTTAAAATGTTGCTCATGGGACTCTTGTCTGAATATCAAGATCTTGTTTTCCACACAATAACATGCATTTTTCTACTGTCTCCAGTAAAATAAATACTTTGTGTACAGCTAGCTCCTACAATTGATGATTTTTTTCGAGAAAAATAAAATAAGATAAAAGATTTTCTTATTCGTTACTATAATTATTGAGCACTGCAATAGTTCTCGTTTTTTCCTTTTAACTTTCGTATTGATTCAAAGTATCGCTAAATATCAGGAGAAATCAGGAGAAAATGTTGAAAATCAGCTCCTGAAATCAGGAGATTTTCCGCCAGGAGAAAAGTAAAAAAACCAGGAGAATCCTGGTCAAATCAGGAGGCTTGGCAAGCCTGTTGGTAATACCTATTTAATTTTTTTTATCTATCATATAACATGGATTTCAATACTTTTTCGTACATTTATTGGAGATTTTTCTCTTTTAAAAAATCTGATTTATCTTGGTGATTCAAAAGTTTGTCGAATACAAGTTGGTATAATTTTTTTCTTAACAAGTCAAATGTATCTGAGTTTTTTCTTACAAGCATTATATCGTCTTTTTAAAATTATTCTCATTTCAAAATTATCTACAATAAAAATTTGTCGAATGTCATTAAATGATACTTCAATTTATATTCTAATGATTATTTTCAGTTGGTTAATATCATTTGTTGTTCTAATTCCAGCATATACAACATTAAATGTTTTTTCTTATTTTCCTAAACAATATCATTGTCTTATATCTTTTATAAATATAAAAGGTTTTATTTATTCACTTCTTGTTTGTTATCTTATACCAGTATGTTTTATATTAATTATTTATTTTCGACTTATTTTCTATGTTCATCGATTACCTAATCGTGGTAGTTCATTACAAGCAAGACGGGAAATAACTGTTATAAAATTTATTTTGAAGATTTGTTTCGCAATGAGTATTCTTGGTTTTCCTACACTTTTCTTTCTATTTCAATTCGTTATTACGGGTGAAATACATCCACTTGCCGATCGAATTCATGAACTATGTATATCTATAAATGCAATCGGTTTTACCTTTGGTTACGCACTTCTCAATTCATTTTCTAAACTTTTATCTGAACTTCATACTGCTGAGGAAAATAATATGATAAGGTTAAGAAATATCAACACATAAAACGATAATCATACGTAATACTTCGTTTCCCGTTTATATGTGTTATTGCAAATACTTGTATTTAAAAATATATGAATTGATTGAAAAATCATTAAATATTTCCTTGTTCAAAATATTACTTCTATTCTAAAGATATTTTTTAAAACAAAACAGATTCTATTTACAGTGTGGGTTGACAGGTGTTGATGTATTTTCTTCACCAACACTCTTTCCTATACACGCAGTATACCTTGTTTGGTATGAATAGCAAAAGAGTATCAGATAATATTTGTCGATACAAACGCTAAAAGTTTTTCAATACTGATAAGTATATATAAATAGGGTGTGGGTGGCAAAGAAAAAATAGAATACTCGCTCACACCCACACTATCTCTAACGGTAGTTATCAGAAATATAAGCGTGAATATGGTATTCTTTTTCGTCCTCCAAGATCGGTATTAGTATGATCGCGAACAGTTGCACTACATTGCCTGAACGTATGAATTCAACGCTATAAATATGCACTAAAGTGTATGTTACATCTATCTATTCGTACATTCACTTTTTAATGTATCACGTTTACTAGCATCTCACTTTCAACTATGAAAAACGGTTGCGACTCTTTGTCAATACGACGATTCGCCCTAACGCCATTTAAATAGAAGATCGTCCACAACACGGACAGTGGTAGTGTCGGTTAGGTTTTCGATCCATCGTACAGCAACTTAGATTATGCATTATCATCGTACGATTTAGTTTTGAAAGTTTCTTACTGAGTTGAAATATTTATCACAAGAAAGGATTTTTATTCAAAAACTGGACATGACATACAAGATAATAAACGAACATATACATGCACTAGAATGTGTCTTCACTCTAATATCAGATTATTTTTTCATGGCCTTTTCTAGGTCACGAATATTATTCTCAGTTCGAAGAAGATTTGCATGAGTAGGCGGTAGAATTTTTCGATAAATAGACAATGATTTCTGATAAAACTTCAGTGCTTCTTCATAATTTGAAGTATCTCTGTGCAAGCATCCCAGATTATTATATGTCGTAGCTATCTGATGATGATTTGCCGGTAATTTACTCTGTTGGATCGTAAGACATTTATTGTAATATTCCAATGCTAATGAATTTTTACCCATACAGTCATATGTAGCTGCCATATTATTGTAAGCTCTCGAAAGCTGCATGAAATCATATGGGCTTGCTTTTTCCAAAATCGTGACGGCCTTCTGTGAACTGATCAATGCCCCATCATAATCATCTAAGCGTTGCCATTGTAAACGCGCAATATAATTATACACTTCCCCAAAGCTTTTATGAGTTGAACTCAATCTTGCTTCACGTATGTTCAATGCTTGTTTGTAGTGTACTAGAGCAGAATTCTCTTGATTCCGCTCGTGCTGAGCTTTCCCAAGTCCCACATGACAATCGCCCGTTTTCACTTGTAAATCATGCATCATGCGTTCATAGCATTTCTCAGATTGCTCATATTCGCCCATCTCATACAAAATTTTTCCTAGTGAATCCAGATCGGTATCATCTCCAATTGTGTCCTTCATGTAAGCAAATGTCTCTTTCAAATGAAAATCATCTTCACTAGCCAAAGACAATCGAGCCACCCACAATCGATCTTTCTTATCTTCAGTGACCTTCTCAATGCGAAATAACGCGCCAAGAATGATCAATATTTCGTCTTCGTTTTGAAAATAACTGCTCTGAGTAATATCCGCAAACGCTTTGGTTTGTAAACGCGGATCGATTTCAATTTCAAAAATGATGCGTTCGAGATCACTGATAATTGGAGTTTGTCGAGCAAAATGGAGAGCAGTGGAACGATCTCGACTCGTGGATAAGAATGAATTCATGGAAAGAAATTGCCTAACACTGTTCTTCATCAATTCTAATTCGTCTTTGGCGATTATTTGACCCCGATAAACTAAAAACTTATTTCGCGTCTCACTGGTTCGAATGAACTTATCATGGTTGTTTTTGATTTGTTTGGCGATGTCTGTAATGAGAAAACGAAAGGCAAACAGCATGTCAAAATCCTGCACACGTAGAGCCTTGTTCATCATTCGATAAAAGCACGATTCACGTGTGTACCACCAAACTGCATTCTCTGGTTTGTAGGTTTTTTCGAACTCTGCAATCGTTTTCATCTCCTCATCATTTCCTTTGTAACTTTTTTTGCAAATCTCGATCAGTTCTTGTCGATCACTGGATTTGTGATGCATGCGAAGCAGCACTTCAATAAACAGTTGAAACCACATGAAAATAGCATTCCGAGCTTCGAGCGATTGAGCTCCAGAGCTGATAACCGAAATCGCAGCACCATCTTCTACTTTGGTTCGCGCAACTTGATCTTTGGAAATCTGTGCGATCATTTTAGTACGGTCAGCAAAAACACCATTGTTCTAGAATATGTAAATGAACAGGTTCTCCTGAAAGCTGTCTGACATGTTTTACTTTGTGATATTTGTTTGCCCATTGTTCATTCGCTTTCTGATCTTGGCAAAAAACATAGAAGGCAGACAGCTGTGAACGATCATGAAGACGGGGAATGATTTGTCGACCCAATGAACCCGAGACAATGAGAACCACTTTTTCTTGAGTGATCTGACGAATGTATTGTTCACACGCATCAGAATTATCGAATGTTTGAAGGTGATTAATAGCTTGACGGAGAGCTTTCAGAGTATCCCGGTTATCTTGTGTGGAGTTGATGTTTTGATCGAGCCATAAGCAAGCGAATGATTCAAGATTAGAAGTGGCAGGCTTGTCGCTCTCTTTCGTTGAGCTAGACCTTTCCGTCGACTTTGTTTTACTAGTAGCCATTTGTTTAGAAGTGGCTTGTCAGACAAATGAAAACACGTTGAATGCTCTCCTGTGTTCGTTTCTCCAAGTTTTAAGAGTGTGTTGTGCGAGATGTTCTGTTATCATAAATCTACTGATAAGAGAAGTTGTGCGGCTACTTCCAAACAGAACATTAAAAGCAAACTCGCTCTTTCTTTACATACATCGTCAATATTGATACAAGACGAAGAAAACAGTAATAAAAATTACACGCAGTTTTTTTCGGGGAAAGGGCTGTATAAATGAGGATGGAGATCAACAATAAAACGTCAACTCAAGGCAGAATTCTTTCTGACTGAGATAACAATTAACTGGGATCAGTTTTGAGAGTGTGGGTGTGGGTTTAAACAGAAAAATTCCACACTCACACTAACTCTCAAATTCGTAATTGCATTGATCGTATTATTTTTTCTATTATATCATCAACATCAATATTAAATGCTAATTCTGCTGACGATGACTGCTGGAAGAGTCGAAAGCTCTAGTATTTATTATACAACAACTATATAGTTTCACTACGTTCATTAATAAAATTTTATTTTCATCATGTGTTTTTATTGATTATTTCAAAAAATCCTATATTATGGTTTATATTGTAAACAATTATGTACTTGTATTTTCGGAGTACGCAGATTCGTTTGTAAGAGCATACAATGAAATACAAAACAGACTCAATTGTTGTAACACTATTAGTCTAATAAATGAAACAATTGACGATTGGTATTTTTTAGATGTTATATTTCGAAATCTTATTCAACGTTGTTCAACAATTCGTACAACTAAAATTTATTCATATCCATCTTTATTTCATTGTTTACAATCTTTAAAATGTATTTCAAAACATCGATTATCTGACGGCTCTAATGATTGTTATTATGGTGAAGATGAATCATTTTCTGCTTGTCAATTAAATGATTCAAAGCGATTTATTTGTCCCTCAGAATCAAACAAATGTTTATCAATAGTTACACTTGAAAATAGAAAAACTGATTGTTTAAATGGAGAAGATGAATTAACTTATGATGAACGTAATGCTTTTCAAGGACTTATACCATTTGGATTTATTTATAATGGTATTTATGATTTCTCATCGATGAAACACATTGTGATTGGTGGCCATGTAATAATCCATATGTTCGATGCGATAATACTTGGCATTGTCTTAATGGTGATGATGAACTTAATTATCTTAGAAAAAACTGTTCATTCAATGAACACGAATGTTACGATGAATATTTAAGTAAATACTATTGCATACGAAGTGTTAATTTGATGGAATCATATTTCGATTGTGAAGATTCACGACCTTTTCGTGAAATTTATTTTAATAATATAACGATGAAAATAATACGTATTATTTTTTATGAAATCAAACAAAATGTATTACTTCACAACATATTTGTCAACAACAACAATCGTTTTTACCATCAGCAGAAGAAGATATTTGTTTGATGCAACTTTTCGTACGATTCATCACACAAATAGCTACTGTTTTCGTAATATCCGATGAATACAGATGCAGAATGTTAGATGGAAATCCTTCAAGTGAAAATTCAAAACCATTTCTGATCACTTCTCGATTAAGTTACTTTCCAGCAATAACATCGAATATTATTTCTCATGAACAAACGAATAATTTTTATAGTAATTATATTTCACTTGAAGAAACAATTTACAGTCGAACAGATTGGTATTGTAATCGAGGAATTGTTATTTTCTATAAATCAAGTAAAACAAAAAAATGTCTTTGTCCACCAAGTTATTTTGGTTCACGATGTCAATGGCAAAATCAACGTATAAGTTTAACATTACAATTTATCTATCATTCTTCAACATATTTAATATCTATATTTCAAATTCTTATTATAATTATTGATCAACAAAGAGAAATTTCATCTTATCATGAACAAATAACATATGTACCTAAACGAGATTGTAATACAAAGTTAATCTTTATTTACTTTATCCAGATCAACCAAAAAACTTTTCAACGAATTATTCAATCCATATAGATATTTATAATAAAACAGATTTAACATACTGGGGAAGTTGGCATTTATCAATACCGTTTCAATTTTTACCTGTTAATCGAATAGCTACTCAATTATTTCTTTCATCTTACGAACAACCAATAAATTGTCCATTATCTTGTGGTATTCATGGAAAATGTATTGCATATATTAATAAAAATTCTTCATATTTTTGTAAATATAATCAAGATTGTTCGGATATTTATTGTCAAAAAGAACATAATTGTTCTTGTTCATCTGATTCATTATGTATAACATCATCTATTTGTATTTGTCCAATAAATAAATTTGGTTCAAAATGTTATTTAAAACATTCATTTTGTCAATCATGTGAAAATAATGGATTATTTATATCGAATGATAATCGTTTTCATTTAACAAATAATTTTACATGTTTATGTCAAGAAGAATTTTATGGAATACGATGTGAAAATACTAAAAATCAAATTGATATTGAATTTAACGAAGAAATAATAAAGAAAATATCAGTTATATTTGTACATTATATAACAGCATTTCAGAATGCTAAACATCAACATACAACAACATTTAAAAAAAATTATCTATGGACAAAATACAATAAAACTTTTTATAACACAACCATTTCATATTATTTTTAATTGAAATTTTGGAACAAAATTATTATTTAGCTGTATTACGAGAAAGATTTATTCAATCTGAAAATATTAAAACAAAAATGTTATCAAATCAAAAATGTTTTCATATAAATGAATTATTAAATAAAACATTTCAATTGTATCCTTTATATAATCGTATTAAATATTATCCATTGATATATCGACAATATAAAAATTTAATGTGTTTTTATGATGAATTTTGTATGTGTATATGTGATTTCGATCGTTTTTTATTTAATCAAACAAGAATATATTATTGTCAAAATAATGGACAATGTTTTCACGATAATATAACATATTCAGATTGTTATTATAAAATAAAATGTCAATTTTCAACCAAAGGATTTTTTTTATCACGTGATTATATCTTAGTTTATCATTATCAAATCAACCATTATTAATTGAAATAAGTATAGGTATAACAACATTAATGTTTATTTTCGGATTAATAAGTGGAATATTATCAATATTCACATTTCATATGAAAAAAACACGAGATGTTGGTTGTGGATTTTATTTATTTCTTCATGGAATTCAATGTTAACATTAAGTGTATTAATAATTAAATTTTGGCAGTTAATTTTGTCCCAAATGTTTATTTTAAATAATCGATCAATATTATCTATGAATTGTTTAATATTAGATATGATTATTCAAGTATGTTTAACATTTAATGATTATCTTTATGGATGTGTTTCTATTGAACGGGTTATTACAGTACATAAAGGAATAGCTAAATGGATAAGTTTATGTATTTTTATTTTAATAATCCTAACACATGTTCATGATCCAATTCACCGTCATTTAATTGATGATATTGATATAGATGAACAACGTATATGGTGTGTTGTTCAATATTCTTCATCAACAAATATTTTTAATTCATTTATAACTAGACATGACCCAAACCCAAACTCAAATTCAAACCGTTTTGGAGTTTGAGTTTGGGTTCATGAGTTTGGGTTTTGGTTTGAGTTTGGGTTTTGGTTTGAGTTTGGGTATTGAGTTTGAGTTTGGGTTCGGGTTTGGTACCAAAAATCCCAAACAGTTTGAGTTTGAGTTTGGGTTTGGGTCTACTTTTAACTGCAATCAATTTATTCAAAATAGTTCCTTTTACAGATTAAAAAAAGGACAAACCCAGACTCAAACCCAAACTCAATACTCAAACCCAAACTCACCAAACCCAAACAGTTTGGGTTTGGGTCATGTCTATTTATAACACTTTTTCATTTTCTTCTTCCATTATTAATAAATATTATTTCAATAATATATATTATTATTTCAATAGCACGTTCACGTTTAACTATTCAACCACGATTAACATTTAAAAAATATTTACAATTAAAACAACATAAATCTCATCTTATTGCTTTATGTACTTTAGTATTTTTAGCTTTACCACGTTTAATTATATCATTTATACGTGGATGTATGAAGTCACCATATCATTCCTGGTTTTTTCTTTCGAGTTGTTTATTTGCATTTTTACCATCGATGATAATATTTATTATATTTCTATTACCATCGAAAATGTACAAAAAGGAATTTAATACTGTTCTTGATCAAACAGTTCGAAAACTTCGTACTACATATCGACAATGATGATTTACATTAAGAATTACGACATCGATTTTACACATTGTATATTTATTGTATTGTATAAGTATGCTCATATAATTCTAATAAATGAAAATTAGTTATACCTCATATATGTACATGTCAGTATTTCGTTTTTACAAATTTTGATCAACTTCATCATCTCACACTTACTCACACACCGACACCATCTCCCATCCCTTTGCGTTATCTAGCAGAACAGACCTTAGATTCGAGTTCCCCTGACCCAAAAAACACTTCGGCCCAGTTTTATGATGTATTATGTATTTTTATTTCTTGGATAATTTTTTGAATCCGTTGAAAGCAAGCAAACAAACAAACAAATTCATTTCATATGACCCTCCCTACAATGGAGGGAACAATAGAGTTTATTTTCGTGAAAAACTTTTTATCGATGTTTGAATTTGTCAAATTTTGGTCGTTTCGGTAATGTATTAAAACGTCCTGAGCGAGCTGAAGCGGCTTCATTTTTCTTTCGCTCTTGCTCTTGTTGAGGATCATCCTGGAAACTTCTAAAATGACCAAATGATCTATCAACATTGTGTAGTGCTCTTAAATAATCTGCATATTGCAGTACACCCAATGAGTAAGCTGAACGTCCAAGACTTATTGTGGTGGGATTGAAGTGTGAACGCCGTTCCCAATCCGATTCATTTTCCCCCCCAGTGAGAATTGATCCAAGGTAAATAAGCCGAGTGAATATCG